AGCTAACTTTTCGTCAGTTATCATGTGACTAAAGGCGAATTGCGGAGCCGTATCAATTGTTATGAGAAGCCAAAACATCAGGTATCATTAATATGGGTACTGTATTCGATCGTTGACCCTGATACCACAGAAATTAAAAATAGGCTCGTGCATTAAACAACAAGCCGTTTATCTGAAACGCAGTGAAGTGCTCAGATTATGACCATAACAGAACATCATGCTTTAAAATTGAACTACTAGCAAATCCTTTCTCTGCTGATTGCATGGAGGAAGATTAGAGTCAATGTCATGCTTAGGAGAATTTAAAGTTAAGAAGAAATTTTGCGCTGCACAAGATTTCAAGCTTTCAACCCGTGCTTCTGAAGTGCAAAGCAAGCTATTTGCCCATTACGCAACTGACGCCCTTCCCCACAGTGGATTGCTCTGTGTTATTCCATCACTATTTTGTATATGTGGATGGGAATTGCCCAACGTGCTTAGCACATTTCGGTGAAGAAGCATCGACTAAATTCAGTCCGATGCTGTCGTCAAGGAAGATACAGCAAGTCTTCCCTGTGAAAGCACCAACTCGACTTGTACAGTCAGAGAAGAAATGGATGAATTTATTGGTACCTAAACTGGACAAACCATTCGTCGTTCGCCCCAGGCAAAAGTGCTGTGGAATTGATCTCACTGATTATCCCGCGGTATCTATGTCACGGCTGTGTCTTTCGATAAAACTCCCATTACTTCAGCCACTGCTGCTACCCGTTATGCTATCTCAACTACACTCATGCTGCAAGCGTGTATCAGGACTGTGCTGAAGTGGTTAATCTATTATTACAGATGTAGATACGATCTTAATCTAATAGTACGTCTGTGATCAGAAGTAGTAGTCCAGTAGTGTGTCTATCGGTTTACAAAGCCTTGGAGTTGTATGCAGGTGCAAGGCACAAGTGCAAACAGATGTCCACTTGGAAGTGATCCCGCACTGTTCCGCACAACCCTCTCTTACAGCAACTGTCTTCTAAACCGTTTCATCTTGAAAAGCCGGGTTTCATGTTATGTGTAGCTGCTGGTCTTGTCTGCCATTTTTAAACAAAGGAGTGCATGTTTAGCCAACGATATTTCTTCTAAGATGTCGCAAGGTCTGGAGCTATTTAAGCAGTCCTATTGCGTATTTCTGTTCAGGTGATGCAATGCTAGGTGCATTTAACAATATTTTATTATTTATAACAATGCGTTGATCTTCGCTGTCAGCCTCCATATATGCTTTCGTTCAACATAAAAATATGGCTTCATTAGCTGGAATGAGTTAATTAGCCCTTAGACCCCCTGCAGTGGAGCACTGCATTGCCTCACGTTAACTCTGTGATTCAATCTATTTATCACTGTTTTGTCGCTTGCAAAACTTTTTCACGTCGGAACCACGTACTGTAGACGTGTTAGGGAACAAAACAAAACATGAAAGCTCATCGTTGAGGCAAACCTCGCGGCGACGATGATCATGACCTTAGCCGCAGCTTGAACGTTGCCGAATATCTGAGATAGGGTTTCTAAAGGTCAGGCGTAAATCTCGACTACCCCTGCTGTTTAAGCTCTGTTATCGTTTGGTGACGATAACATATTTACGGTTGATGCTTCATGCTTTTTTCCACTATCGAGCATAAAAACCTCTTTAATGTTCTACTTGCAGATCATTTACCTTGCTATATATTTCAAGAATACCATGAAAATAACATGGTTCGTTAATATTGAGGTACTGAGGTACTGTCTAAGTTTATCGTTTAGTGCTGATAGACATGTAACTGAAATTTTTCATGGAAACATTTTTTCTTTATAGTCGTATAGAGAAAATGTCGGCGACAGCACCACTTATTGGCAAGGCGCAGATTCAGTCGACGGCAGGCGCCGTTCCGGTTAAAAATGAGAAAGGTGTTTAAAGGCATGTTAAAATAAATTTATTATTTAATTTTGCACTTTAGGAGAAATCGCTATGGAGAAGGTCAAAGTTCAGCGCTATGTTGCTGGAAAAAGGTAAAAAAATTCCTTTTAATATGTGAGTGTTTGAAGGAATACGCGTTATGAAGCTTTCGTTGCTTAGACCGGATTATGCTGATCAAGAGTCGAGCTACAGCGAATCAGATTCAGAGACGACCGAAAATCTGCCATCGAGCCCCAAATCGTCAACAGAGAAAGTAGAAATCAAAGAAGAACCCGAAGACGTCCTTGACATTGATATCAGTCAGGTGAAGGATCCGAGGTGGCGACGGCTCTTGACAAAGCCTGGTTTGGATGAAGATGAAGAAAGCAGGTGCGTTACGTTTTATTGTGTTCGAATGAACGAAATCATTCGTTCAAAACATTCGTTCAAAACAATGTGTGAATGAAGGATGATGAAAGAGTCGTCAGTATCGTATGTCCATTGGTTAGGATACCGTCAAGATGACACTTTCCACGGGCCCAAAATGTCTGATGAGATTCCTTAACTGATAAAGTTGTTGAGGTCATGCGGAGTGTCTTCATCATCAAACGGGCTGATCTGTCATTACAGAACCACCATTTTTGATCATGGAGTTAGGCTGTGAAAAGGGAGACATGCCAGAATTACTACTGCCATTGCCGTTATCAGCCTTTCCAGTGTATAGTTGGGGATATTCATATTAATTTCATGGTAGTCGTAAAGGTCTGTCATGATCTCGGGAGCCAGCGGTTGACCATCCTGTTCACTAAATACTGTTTAGGAGAAGTGCTTCTTGATTGCCATCCCGTACAGCAAGATTGTGTGTACCGTGAGTATATGTCCCTGAAAGAATTACAGTGACCGCAATGTGTATAGGGGGTGGGTGGGTAGAAGACATTCGTAAGTAAATAGCTTTGTTGCAATTATAAATTCTTCACATTGAGAGCTTCCTCACAGTTCTCGTCATAAAGGCAGTGTACTGCAGTTCAAAATCATACCATTGGTAGAGCTTGCCATATGCTCCTGCAAGCCCTTCTCCCTGCATTTAGATCTGTGTTTTTCACAAGAGAGCTAAGTTAAACATCCTTTTGTTTCAGTCTAGAGGACTAAGATTCGTCATCTTACCTTGCCTTATCTATTGGAGAAATCCGACGGTTCTCAACGCTAAGCAGTTTTCAGTCGCTCTATTTATTGCAGTCGCTTTAAATGACCTTAGTGTTTGCTACACAGTCTTAATTCTTAGCCTTTGTTTAAGTAGTCCTGTCTATAGTACAAAAACGACTAAATAGGTGAGCATGTCTTTACTAGAAAACGACGTTTTTTAGGCATATCCGGCATGTACAGCTGCACGAAGTTGAAAAGGCTGATGACGAGGAGGAGAAAAACCGGTTGGTTGACGTTGCTCGTAGGCACTTCGTGGCATCCAGCGAAGAGGAAGAAGAAGATGAACTTTCAGATGATGTAATGCTGGGTATTAGTTTTTCTCTGTTTGTTGTGAAATACACGTGGCTTTGCAGGAAATCGAGCGGCGGCGCGCTTTGCTCCGGCTGCGCGTGAAAGCACGACAAAAGGAAGAAGTATGTGATTTGTTAACATGTAGCTTAGTTAATCTGGTCTTGTTATAATAATATTTTTTGTTCGCATATCGTGTCCTAAACTGTCAATATTTGTCTGAAGTTTTGCAGAAGAAATTGCCTTTTTTTAGTCTAATCTAGTGTTGTCTACTTCGTTCAG